ATCATTTTTAGATGATCATACTAGGATCATATTCAAATCATTTTTACAAATTATATCATATATACATCATCTTTATATCATTTTATGAAATGGCCTTAAAATGACTCAAATATGATATCATTTTAAGCTCGTATTTAAATCATTTTAGGATTATAATATGATCATTTTCACTTCATATCACAAATGAGTCATACATGTCTCATTTATGTCTGATTTCCTGCGACCTGGGTGGAAAATGCAAGTCCTGATGTTGACATACGAGGTTTGAGATTCAATTGTGTATTTCATTGAGTTGATGTAGTCAATGATTCCAATTCTATCAATGACTTATATTCGGGAAAATTGGGCTGCCATATTGACTTAGTTGACAGTCACCTGAGCTGTGTGTTGAGTACAATTATGAATGTATGTGAGCAATTTTTTCGAGTCGATCAGCCAAGTGCACAATTTGTTGTGGTCGTTGTCACTACAATTAATACAGATGTCCTATTATAGGAGATCAGTCTGCTGCTTCGGGTGATTTAAATAGTGCCGAGTTGTATGATCCGTCAGCAGGAGCTTGGACACCTACTGGTGATAGCATGAATATTACACGCCAATATCACACAGGAGCAGTGTTAACAGATGGAAAAGTGTTAGTTGCTGGTGGAGTTGGTATGGGTATTTCTCTAGATAGGAGAATACAGCCTATTCCGCGATATTGATCATTGCGGTATCAGTTCCCGCCCAGGAACCAGTTACCAGTAATTCCGCCCTAAAGGAATTCCAGGAATTCCTCCAGGATAGAATCGCTACGCATTACCAGGAATCAATAGGAATTACAAGGAATTCCGGCATTCCTACTAGTACAAGCACTGCACATTCCACTACTTGCATGATTAAAGCTACACAACTAATTCTCAACCGAAATTCCGGGAATTCGGAATTACTCGGAATTCCGCACTTCATATAATTGCAACTACACAATTAAGTCTGAGCCAGAATTCCGGGAATTCTTTCAGGACGGAATAGCTAGGAATTACTCGGAATTACTAGGAATTCCTGTTACCACCAGCACAAAATCTGACTGTACTTGTATGACACACAATCATACAAGCGCAGTCAGATTTTGTGCTGGTAGTAGTACGAATTGTGGAATTCCTAGTAATTCCGGGTAATTCCTAGCTATTCCGTCCTGAAGGACTCCCCGGAATTCCGGCTCAGACTTACTTGTGTAGTTGCAATCATACAAGTACAGTCAAATTTTGTGCTGGTGGTAGCAGGAATTCCGAGTAATTCCTAGCTATTCCGTCCTGAAAGAATTCCCGGAATTCCGGCTCAGACTTAATCGGACGTGCACAATTACAATTACAAAATGTAAAGTTCAGACATTGCTATTACCTGTAGAATTAAGAATTCTAGAATTATGAACTTTACATGTATGTAAAGTTGAACTTTACTTGTTCAGAATTTTCTAAAATTCTGAATTCTAGGGGTGAATGTGGGGGTGAGGGTGAGGATGAGTGTGAATAAGCAACTTTACATGTATGTAAAGTTCATAATTCTAGAATTCTTAATTCTACAGATAATAGCAATGTATGAACTTTACATTTTGTAATCGCGAAGCCCTCGACTTAACTGTGTAGTTGCAATTATATGAAGTGCGGAATTCCGAGTATAGTAGGAATTACTAGGAATTTCGCACTTCATATGATTGCAACTACACAGGTAAGTCTGAGCCGGAATTCCGGGAAGTCCTTCAGAACGGAATAGCTGGGTAATGCTCGGAATTGCTAGGAATTCCGAAATTCTTATAGGTGTAAGCACTGCACATTCGAGCACTTGTATGATTAGAGCTGCACAACGTACTTTGAACCGGAATTCCGTGCTATTACCGGCACTGAACATTCGAGTACTTGTAGGAGTGGGTATGAATTTTTGGGAATTCAGACTTTGTTCGTGGCAGACATTCGCGGGGCTGGTTTTATTCAAGCTTTAGCACTCCTTCTTCAGAGTAATGCCTATTAATTTAGTTATTATATGACGTAAATATTCGTGTACTTCGGTAATTAGAGCTTTACTAGTTTTTCTGCACGCCAGCCCCTTCATTCGTGGGAATAATGGGGAATTACTGGGAATTACTAGAATTTTCGATATGAGTTGTAGTTGCTATTCATATGGGTTAACGCTTAGTTGTATGTAAGTTGTGCTATTTTATTAATTGTTTTTGGTGTCAATTTCGTGTAGTTGATTTGTAATCCTTTATTCCAGTTCCAGTGATGAGTTTATCACGGTTAATGTGGCTGGGATTAATTATGTTAGAGAGTAGTTTGGGGTCTAGGCAGTACGAGAGTAGCTTGTTTCCCGTTTGGTGTTTCTGCGGCGTGCTTACAGTCAACATGCTTTTTGTTGGTGGTTTGCGTTCACCCTCATCGAGAGATATACTTTTTTTTTTTTAAACTTGTTTCTTATTTATTTAACGCCAACTGGAAAAAAAAAAAAAAGTACAAAGCTAAGAAGAGCAGGCAAATCGAAGTAAGATCATTATATGCCTGGATCTATTCGACAAAATGAGACATCAATAAAACAGATAAGAGAGTAAAAGAAAACAAAAAAAAAT